CTGTTTAGACTTATGCATCTGTGTGTGCAGATGCCTGTCACTGACAATGACTTGAGCACTTTAAACATGTAGAACTATGTAAGACATTGGTGTTTGTGTTTGTACATTATCAAGATGTGCAACTTCTCCTCTGTTAGCTGCTAAGCTGGCGGGAATATGCAATACTAGGGGTTTGCCTATTTAAATGCATTAATAGCACTGACAACGTTTTCTTGCAGTTAGCCTGTGTGACTGGTTGATAACCAGTGATGAACCAGAGATGTTGGAGAGAGTAGACTTGACTGTGGATTTAACATCTGACCCATGTGATGCAGCCTCCCTTTTCTTGTTTGATCATTTTGCCATCTTCGCTCTGCCCGGATACCTTGAAGGCCATTCCAGAGCTTTTTATTTTGGCTCTGAGAAACGAGGAGCAGGGTTTAGACTGACACACCCTTTTATTAGCAACCTGTTGGTGATTGGACTGCAGCTAATTGGTCTGGTCAAAGTTTTAAATTGTATTTGTTTTCAGATTCACCATAGTAGTGGATATGTGTTAACTGCCGCTCTGGTTTGTGAGAATTATTGTTTTTCTGCAAGATCTACTATCATTTCACCTCCATGAATAATATATATCTTTGTTTCTATCATCCTCTCCATTCAGTGGCATAAGGCTGATATTCCTTGTGTCAAATGAAAAAAGCTTGATATGATATATTTACATCATTTCTAGAACATTTGGGCTGATGACAATTCTACCAGACATAAGTCGCAGACATTGCTTCAGGTGATGGGGAGACAAGAAGCAGGTGAGGGGAAGTGCAGATGCAATTATGGGAAAAGCTTATAACAACAAAAGCTTTGTAGGTCCTCTGATGAGATCTCTTATTGGACTTATCACATATACTATCATTGACTGAGAGAAGTCTGGGTACCTCTGACAGGACCTCAGCCTCCACTGACCCTTGCTACTCCCTCTCTGTGCTTCCAGGACTGAAAGGGGATAAAAAAAAAGTTGTATTTCTTTCCCTGGCCTGAGTGAACTGGTGTCAACTACAATGACATGTTGGATATGAAAGCAGAGGATGTGCTATAAAGAGTAACTTGAGGGTTATCAGGCTCTAATTTCTGATTTGGGGTTTAATTAGAATCTTTATTTTAATGGGGACATTTGTGAAGTATAAAGATGTTTTTAGTTTTACTTTAATTGTTGAAGTGTATTGCACGTTGTAGTTTAGTTCTGTTTGAATGGGTCGATTTGTAATCAACAGCTGAGCTGTCACTTCACTTTTTCCTTGGGTTATATGAGGCAGGTTATTTAGGCTTGAGTTTAAGCTCTGCAGTCAGTTCTGTTAGCAGGTTATAGCCTTTTCACAGGGATAAACTACCTTGATATGCATATGAACTCAGAAGCACCCTGTAGCTTATTTTAAGTTCATGACATCTTATATGCAGGGTGTTGGGATGCCACGTACTGACTGCTTATTAAATGTGAGTGCTTCCTTGTTTACATCCAGGAGCATGTAAGATGGCAAAAATACAAAAAACAAATAA